AATAGTACTGCTAGCAGAAGTCCATTAGGCACTTGAAATGTGTTATCTTACAACTGAAATTTTAAATATTCAAATAATCTTGAACGATCTTAATTAAATTTAGTAACCAGAGGTGGTGAGGTAGCTTTTTAGTTAAAGTGATTGCTGCAAAAGCCCGACCCATGAGCTTGGTCCCAGAACCCACATAAAGATAGGAGAGTACCTGCACCACCTCCATACAAGTGCTACGGCACACACATCCATATATACATGAGTGCACAACATATGCAAAATAAATATTAAATCCAGTAGCTGTGGGTGGCTGGCTAGTGGTTATCTTATGGGACAATTCAATACTAGATAGTTATTTCTATGGTACAATTTTCAGAAGCACATGGACTTCCAAATTAAAATTAAGAAAGAAGTAAAACATTAATGTTAATTAAAGAAGGCTATGGTTTTGTTTATTATTTTTGCAGTGCTGAGAATTGAACCCAAGACTTCAGGAATACTAAATAAGCACCATACCATAGAGCTACATCGCCAACATACCTACTTAATACATTTTGAATCATATGTAGCCAATATGTTTTCTCTTTAAATCAAAGATCTGCAGCAAGAGATGAGCATCAATTCTTAGGAGCACACCACTAATCAGAGAAAGATGTGAAAGGGGAGTGATTTGAAGCCCAGCGAGAACATGAGCTCCTTTGTGTATTCACTCATTCACAAAGCAGTAATAGAGTGCCAAAAGTGAGCCTTTCCTCGGCCCTGAGCCCCAGTAACACAAGAAGTCCTTGCCCACATGAAGCTCTCACTGCAAGTGCCAGTGCAAGCTTTAGTTTGCTAGTGCTGTGTGTTGCTGTATGTATGAGTTAGTTAGTAACAAGCCTGAGCTATCGGCCAAGCATTTGTAAATAATATTAAGTCTCTGAGTGGTTATTTGGGAACTCCTACCAAGACACAAAGAAACTCCATCTACAGAGAAGGGACTGCACAGTCCAAAAAGAACTTTTTCAGAACCCTGTCTGATGAAGGCTAGAGAGTCCCAGACTCATTTCCTATACATAAGGAAGCTGCTTTCATTCTCCTATACAAATTATTTCACAGTATCACCCAGTTGTTCTGCTAACTGTGGCAAAGACAGTAATAGGGAGAGAATGATGTACACTTATATCATGCCATTGCCTTTTACTTTAATGTAAAAAGGCTACAGATTCCAAATAAACATGCTTTGCAGAATGCTACCATGGGAAGATGGGAAGTTCAGGTCATGGCCTTCTTTGCTCTTGGGGAAGGTCGATCACTATCATCTCCCTTTTCTTCCAGCTTTCCTATGAGCTACCTCAGTGACTGCACTTAATATTATCCTGACTTTTCCACAGTGTGAATGTTGTAGTACAGTACTGTACCATTTTTCATAATAAAACAATGACAGTACTAGACAGAGTTGTCCAGGCAGAGTCCGACATGCTCAGTGTGAGCAGAACAAGAAGAGAAGTAGATTTGCTGGTGACATTTCGGAGCTAGAAGGGACAGGATTTAAATACAGCAGTGGAGTCAGGGGAGGGCTAAAAATGGTTGTTCTTGTACTTGTGATTTATCGTAAAGAAAGTAATTATAATCTAACCAAACGAAGATTTGTTTTCTTCATTTGTACCTATAGCAATCAAATACAAAATAGACTTCAGTACTTTTTAGATGAACTCTAGGCTCAGGGAGAAAACTTGTCTCAAAAAATAAAGTGGCCAGTTATCAAGGAATATATCTCATGTTGATCTCTGGCCTCCATACACATGCACACATAAGTGCACACACACATATGCAAACACATGCACTCACACACACACACAAACATCTTAGATGAAATAATAGAAGTACTCCAAAAACAAAAGAGAAAACTTTAAAAGCTTCAGAAAGCAGAGTCTGAGGACTATTAACTGCCAATACGCATCAGGCTGCCAGTTACTCAACCTTGGAAAAGGTGGTGTCTATTTCTGTATTTGGAAGGAAGGGCTTCCTATCACAGCTCCAGAAATTGTTCTGATTTCCAGCTGCAAAGCCAGGATGTTCCAGTTAAAACGATAATGTCCAAAAAAAAAAAAGATTACTCTAGTCAAAACAAAAACTGATTTTAAACATTCTAAAGCACTAAATTTTACTCTATTTTATCCTTCTAAACTAGTTTGGTATTGCTCTTTTCTAGCCTTTTTTTCTTTCTGGAGTAACAGTTGTTTGGCTGTACCATTGACAATAATAATCTGTAAAGGAAAAGAGAAAATGAATAAGAAGACAACATATCCCATTTTGCAGTTTCCATGAGTGAAAATTAGTGCCTAATGAGATGTCCCCAAACACTGCTGCTGCTGCTCATCAAAACATGTGCCCCAGATCAAAGTGGATTTAATTATCACAGGGAGAGGGTGAAATGGGGACAGCAAGTGGAAAGATCCAGAACATGAAGAAACAGCATATCTCAGGAGATAAGATACAGAGCTAATTGTGTGCACCTGCTTTCTTCTAGAAAAAAAAAATCATTTTTGAATGGTGCAAAAGCTACATTTCAAGCAAGTTTTGATGAGTTAATACATAGAAGAGGACCAGCCAGGGCCATCCATAGCCAGTGTTTTTGAGAAAGAGGTCAGGTCTTTGCAGAAACCGCTCCCTTTAAAGAGATGCTTGCTCCACATAGAGCCAGGTCACTGCGCATTAAACCTCGAAAAGTAATTTGATCAGAATTTTTATTTTATTTTATTAGAGGCATTATCAGAGCTACCTTCACAAAGAACCATCTATTGTTTTGCCAGTAAAATGGCTTAAAATCTGATAGAAAATAATCGTGTTCTCATTGAAAACAATCCCCCCCCCCTTTTTTTTTTGGCTAACTTTGATTTGTCATTGTGTGTGTGCATTGTTTGTGTGTGTGCTTAGCCAAGCCCACAAAGAGATGAGATGTGAACTCACCTCCACTTTTCCCCAGCTGTCTTGTCTCTTAGGCATTTACAAAAGAAAAAATCTTAGAAGCTGACTCCTTGGTGCTCAGGGAACAATAGCATATGGCATGCTTGAAAGTGACATGTGTCATGGATCTTCCCGTGCTTTGTTCTGAGGTCATTAGATATTATAACAGGATGTTTTAGCTGTTCCGTTTCTACTTCTTTGTGTTAGGTGTTGACGTATATTATTTCAGCTAATCCTAATCAAAGGGCCTGTTGGTAGCCAAGGAAGTGCAGTTCCCACATTTAATGTTGGAGAAGACATTCATTAGTTCCCTGAGCTCTGGCTCCATAAACATCAAAACCAAGGGGACCAAAAAAAAAACCCAACAAACAAACAAACAAACAAAAAAACCAAGGGGACACCTTCCTTTCTTTTCTTTTTTTTTAAATTGAAAATTAAAATTTATAATTCTAATTTTAAATTTTTTTAAATTGAAAATAGATTCTTCTCATATAATACATCCCAGCCACAATTTCCCCTCCCTCCACTTCTCCCAGCCCCCCCCCCCGTTTTAGTTAGGGTTTCTATTGCTGTGAATAGACATCATGACTACAGCAACTCTTACAAAGGAAAACATTTAATTGGGGTTCTTGCTTCCAGTTCAGAGGTTCAGTCCCTTATCACCATGGAAGGACATAATGGGACATAGCGGTATGCAGACAGACATGGTGCTGGAGAGGTAGCTGCTAGGTGTCGGTAGCAGGCAACAGGAAGTAGACTGTCACACTGGGCAGTATCTTGAGCATAGGTGTTGTAGAATATTATCTTAAGATGTGTTATATTTGTTTATGCTGTGGAACATTTGTTTAATGATGCAAAGATGTGTTTGCATTCTTTTATGTTGCATTTGTTTAACTCTGTGATAAGAGTCCTGAAGTGCTATATCTCTTGAGATCTAAAAATCCCTTAGTAATAGTACAAACTAGTCATTAGGAATAATCATTGTGTTTACTAATATAAGCACTGGCTGATAACTTAGTGAACATATTTGATGTTTTCAGCTCCTTATTCCCAAGGCTATGGGAGCTGAAGTTTATCGTTGTTCACTGAATCCAGCCCCTGAAAATGTTTTCCAGGAGGTGCATGCTCTGCAATGAACTGATGTGCGCCTTGCAGTCAGTTAGTCCTTGAGAAAGTCTGTGTTCTACAGAGCATAAACTCTTTCAGAAGAAGGACCCTGGCCTTATGTACCTGGGCACTCTGTTTACATGTAAATATTTTTGACATTAGGTCTCTTACTGTGTGTATAAATGAAAAGAGTTACCCAAACCAGAGAGGTCTTACAAATCTTGATACTGCATATAACCCAAAATAAAAGACATGTTTCATACCTGCTTACCTGTTCATAGGTACAGCTGATAACCACAAACACTTTTTAAAAATATACAATGCCCAAATGGGGCCTTATAGATGAATTACTGTATCTTGATTTAAAAACAATACTCATCATTTCATAGCCTATAGAAAAATGTCATTTTTCTTAGGCCTAGAACATATCCCATACTTCTATGAGATTTATTATTATTATTGTGGATGCAAAATTGAGGAAAGATCCCTGGTTTCCACGTTAGAATATTTAAATGGTTAGAAAAGGAAAATAACCCTTGAATAATTTTATGAGACTCTGTTTTCAAACAACTTTTTTTTCTCCCTCTCCCTCTTCTTCCTCCTCCACCTCCTTTTCCTCCTTCTTCTTTTAAGTGAAAACAGGACTGAAGATAAGAGTCAGTGGTAGAGTCCTTGCCTAGCATGTACAAACCCTGGCTTCAATCCCCAGTTCCACCAAAAGATGGGTGGAGGAAGATCCAGGCTTGGTGGTGCATGCTTGTAAGGCCAGCCCTTGGAAGTCTGGAACAGGATGATTGTAAGCTTGAAGCCAATCTGAATGCTGTATAGCAAGAGTGGGTGGGATCATAAAGTATTTTATAAATTAGAGAATTCCATATTGGAGTCCTGCAGCATAACATTAGGATTGCATGTAGCAAGTCACTTCTTCAATGGTTTCCTCTTTTCATTCACAGACTAAAAAAGAAAAAACAAGCCAAACAAAATGCAGAGAACATCTCAGCTACAGCCACAAGGATTCATTCCGGGAAAGAAGAAGCTAATTCAGTCATTTCAGAACAAGACAAGTCCAACATTGCAGTGGAGGGGGAACATAGCACTGATGAGAAAAAGAAGAGAAAAAACAACCAGTTAAAAGAAATCAGGCGCACGGAACTGAAGAGATACTACACTATTGGTGAGTCTTCGCAACACTCTTGGAATAAGTTGTTTAAAAATCTGCCATAGACGGCGCATGGTGGTGTACAACTAAAATCCCAGTACTCAGGAGGTAGAGGCCAGAGGAACAAGAATCCAAAGCCAGCTTGGGTTACACAAGGCCCTGTCCCAAAACGATAACAATAATAGCAACAATGAATTGTAATCATTTTACAGTTAGGTGTGTTCATCAGAAATTTGAGGCCGCCAGGCGTTGGTGGCGCACGCCTTTAATCCCAGCACTCAGGAGGCAGAGTCAGGTGGATCTCTGTGAGTTCAAGGCCAGCCTGGGCTACCAAGTGAGCTCCAGGAAAGGCGCAAAGCTACACAGAGAAACCCTGTCTCGAAAAGCCAAAAAAAAAAAAAAAAAAGAAAAGAAAAAGAAAAAGAAAAGAAATTTGAGGCCAACCTGGTCTACATAGGGAGCTTAGGTCAGCCTGGGTAGATTAAACCCAACTCTTACCCCAAAATAAACAAACAAAAAAAGCCTCCCCCCCTCAAAAATCAAAATCTGTAATAATTTGCTAAAAACAGCACAATGTCTTATGAATCATCATCATAATAATAGCACCAGCTTATAGAGCAACTGTTCCACATCCCTGGCTCTTTTTATATATTATACAATATAAAAGGAGAGCTGTGAAATAATGTGCTCCACTCAGCTTTGCCCTTGGGTCATCTAGCAATGTGTCTACCACATATTGTATGCTGATAAACATGTTCCCTGTAGGAGAATAGGCTTTTGTATCTTTTTTGTTGTTGTTGGTGTGTGTGTGAGGTTGTGTGTGTGTGTGTGTGTGTGTGTGTGTGTGTGTGTGTGTAGATGTGCTTGTTTGTGCAGGCACGTAGGGGTCAGAGGTTGACTTCTGAACCTTCCTCTATTGCTTTCAATCTTATTTGTTGAGACGGGGTCTCACTGAGCCTGGAGCTCACGATTTCAACTGGCTGACCAAATAGCTCCAAGAATTCTTCTTTGCCTCATAGTCCTGGGAAGGAGACCGTCACTGCATCCAACCTTTCACATGAGTGTGGGGAATCAAACTTCAGGTCCTTAAGCTTGTGCAGCAGGCACTTTACCACGGATCCATTACCCAGGATCCATTTCTTTTCCTTAATGGTTATAAATAGAATATAAACAGAATGAATACGTCAATTGTATTGATAGTAGTGACTACAATTTTTGCAGGAGACAAAGCCTAGCCTGTGTCAGCTAAAAACAACCACCAAACACAAAACTCCCTCATTTAGAATGAGTCCGCAAGGTTATGGAGTTTCTTAGAACAGTCACTGCTGAAAATATACTGGGAATGATGGCATGTCTAGCTGTACTTGGATCACCCGTCTCATATCTACTGTTCCGTCACGTGCTGGAGTCTGTTGCAGTGGACGCAAAGAGACGGTGTCACGTGTCAGAAATTTGGTACATGGGCTATGACATACTTAATATTGCTAGGCAAAGAGAGAAAAGATGTAGTGCCCAGAGAGCATCCTGCAGTTCAAGCAGTGAGATGAGGTCTTGCAGAGTTACTCGGAAAGCCCTGAACTTGGTCCAGATTATGACAGATTTTCAGAGGGGCACATCTGCCTTCTGTGTTTAACCTAACGTCCTAACGGGCCTAATGATGTGTGATGGTTTGTGTCAGCTTAACAGGTTCCAGAATCACCTGCAACACAAGCCTCCAGGCACGTCTGGGATCTGGAAGGCATTATTGAGCTCTTGGGCATATCCTCAAGGGATTCTTTGCATTAGGTTCATTGAGGTGGGAGGATCCATCTTAAAAGTGGGCAGCGCCATTCCTGGAGCACAAATTTTCCTTGCTCCCTTTTTGCTGGCTGAGGATGCAGCGTGACTAGCTGCTTCACGCTTCTGCTGCTTTGATGTCCCCTCAGAACGGCCTGTCCACTGAACTGTGAGCCCCGGTAGGCCCGGCCTTCCTTCGTTTGCTCCGCCAGGTGTGTGGTCACAGCACTGAGACAGTCAGTGAGACCACGCCCATCAAGGACAGGCTGCGCTGCACTGGGGTGGTGGTAAGAGCGGCCTCGCTTACGTTGCTCCGACAGAGACCGATGAGGAGTCTGCCCTCAGCCATGAACATGGAGCTTTTAGCATGACAGGGGGCAAAGAAGGTTAAACACTGGGACCCACGGCTAAGTTGGTGCCATTACTTAATCCACCCATGTGCTTGTTGGTCCTGTGCATTCCACCCTGGTGAATGAGGTGCCTGAGTAATTAAGAAGCTTGCACTTACAATTTAAAATGTCAGTGTACTCCCTTCCAAAAACAAGAGAATTAAGGAAAGTTGCCTTTTGTTTTGTGCGACTTCTCGCTTTGTTAAAATGGTTTTCTAATGTAGTAGTGGCATCTGTTGGAAGTATATTGTTGAGTTTAAAATAATACTCTTTGTCTATTCCTCACTACCTTTTCCTGACCTCTCGAAATCAGTCCAGTTACCTTGTCTCCTGGGAATCCCTTCCTGGCTCTGTCCAGGCCAGGCCTGATTTCCACCTGCATTTATCTGTTCTCTGTTTGCAGGCTGGGGTGATTTAGACCCTGTATTATCTCTACCATGACAGGTGCTGTGCGTGTGTGTGTGTGTGTGTGTGTGTGTGTGTGTGTGTGTGTGTGTGTGTGTGTTGGACACTCCTGTGTTCATGTGTGGAGGCCAGCCTCAAGCATCCTTCCACAGTTACCATCTACTTTCTATTGTGTACATGATCTCTCAATGGCCTGTAACTCGTCTCGTAGCCTAGCCTGGCTATCAAGGAAGCTCCAGAGTTCCATCTCTGCCTCCCAGTGCTGAGATTACATGGGCCATCCTATTAGACTTTTATATATATAGATAGATAGATACTGGAGATCAAGCTCAGGTCTTTATACATATAGGGCAAGCACATTAGCAAATCAGTTACTTCCCTGTCCTGAGAGATGCTCTTTCCATGTGCATTCAGTAGCAGAACGAGTAGATAGATGAATAAACACTCTGGTTTTATTCGTTTCCATTTCCTGAGAATTTCAGAGGATATTGGTAACAGTACAGTCATTGGGTTGAAATTGCCATGTGGTTTTCCTTGGTAGCAATAAGTAAAGAGATGTCATTATGTCACCTCTTAACAGTGGCAGTGGTGGCCGCTGGCTTGGAGACTTGGGGCATTTCATCAGGGAAATCCAGTGCAGGGATCAAGCCTCTGGGTAGATCACTAAATTTTAGGCTTCATTGGCTCTTACCACGTTTTACCATAGTTGACCTACACCAGCTGGGATTTGATTGGCCTCATAGAATCTGTTACCTTCTAGAGTCCCATCCCTGGATGTGGTTCTGTACCACTAGGGGGAGCCTCAGACCTTGAGTCAAAATTCATTCCTGGTCCAGGGCCCTGCTTCTTTCTGTGGTGCTACTCTGGTTGTAGAAGGAGACTAAGGAGACTTGAGAAGGCGAGAGGGTCTTGTCTCCAAGATTCAGATATGTAAAACTCAGAATTGGGGTAGCTCCATTATTTCATCGACGAGTTTTTGTATAGCGGTGTTTTTGAAGGGCTAAGTTTCCCTCCAGGGGCCTAGTTAATTGCTCCTTACAGATGTGAGGTGAGTCTGTGTATAGAAGAAGTGATCCAAGGAACAAACGGAGATGCAAAAGAAGCAGCTAGTGATGCTCATTGGCAGCATGGGCAACAGAAATGCAGATGGAGAAGGTGTAAGTGAGAGTTGTCTTATCTGGGTACTGAAATTATAAGGGAGTTCATTTTCCTTTTCTTTTTATCTCAAGACAGGGTCTCACTGTGTAGTTCTGGCTAACCTGGAATACACAGTGTAGACCAGGCTGGCCTCAAACTCACAGATCCACCTGCCTCTGCCTCCTTGTACCACCACACCCTACAGGAGTTTCCCCCCTCTATTTGTTGAACATTATGCGTTGCAGAAGGATATTTTGAAAAAAATAATGGTTTTGCTTTTCCAGATAGATTTATCTGTGACTCACTGAAGCCTTGGGCAGTCAGTCATTACTGTCTCCTGACACCTCGATAAGATGCCAGTAGAGAATGCTTTGGAGAGATTGAGTCACCAGAATTGCCTCATAGTAGCACCATGGCCCTGATTCTGTAAATGTTCTATTTTGTTTTTGAGAAAAAGGTAGGAAAGGAAGTAATCACATTAAGACAGCTTGCATCAGATAACTCAAGATCCAACATCTAGCACATTACCTAGAGTCGGTAAATATTGAATGCTTCTAGACAAGTGACTTCAACCTTTCTCTGCTTGCACCTATATTTGCTAATATATAGGACTTCTTTTTTTTT